TTCACAGTGAAGAAACAGGCTGGGAGACTTTTGTTAATGTCTTTAAAACAAAATCAGCACAAATGTTTTGCACACGTTTCACATCGATTTTGTTTGATCTGAAGAAGGTGGAGGCTGAGAGCAGCACAGATCCACAGACCCGGAGGATCGATGCCAAGAGCTGAAGCTCGCTGTAGCCTAACGAGAGACTGAGACACAGAGACGACTGAAGGAAAAACTCAAGAGAAGTTTGTGATCGAATCCGCAGCTGTGAACGCAGCCGGACAGCTGCACACGCTGCAAACAGAAACACGACATCCAGCTGAAGCTCTATAAGACATCAGGTCACGTCTCCAGAGCATAACGCTTACTGACTGGCGCCACCTACAGGTCCACGGCCTGACAGCCTGGACCAGCAGAGCAACACGAACGTTTGAAAAAGGAAATCTTAGATCTTCATCGTGTATCATGAAATGTTCCTGCTGTTTAAAAATCTTTACCTTCAACAAAGTTTCTGCTGTCAGCTCAGCTCGAGCTGGCAGCAGAAACATCTGATCGTCTTACCGTCCACAGTCAGCTGAATTCCTCTGTTAACGTGCATCTCATTTGCAAACTTCCCGATGCAGAAGTACGGCCCAGCATCCTCCTCCTGCACCTCCTGGATCTCCAGGCTGACCAGGCCGGTCTGCAGCGTCCCGTCACACTTCATGCGATGGTTGTTTGTGTGATTGTCAGTGGTGCCCGGCCCTTTTAACTTCCCCTCTTTAACAGTTAACAGAGGCTGCAGCTGCTCTGAGCGCAGCAGGTACCAGGTGATCTCATCTCTGTGCGTCATGTTACAGAGTAGAGAGACGTTGTGGCCCAGCGGCACCACCAGGGTGGAGCTGTGAACAGGTGAGGCTGAAGACAGGTGACATCCCGCAGCGCCTGAGGAGTGAGCACAGGTTAGGACAGCGTGCACCTGAAGCTCCTTCATATCACAGAAAACACCACAGCAACAGGTGACAGGTGTGCGCTCCACAGCTCGACAGAGCTCACAGTTCCTGCTTCGTGGTTTTTCACAGAGAAATCATTTCCTCATTAATACTGTTAATTTTACTGCACATGCTCACAGTGAGTCAGGCTGAGGGTCGTGATCAACATGGAAACTGCTGCGACTCCCGTGCACACCTGCAGCTTTAGAAATCTTTTTTTATTACAAAAACACTTTTTGTCAGACTAAAATTGATCTGAAATTATATTATCACACAGAAAATAACTGTCCAAACACTAAAAATGTACCATTACTCCAGATAAACAGGTTTCGTTATAAAATAATAATATGGATAATATAAAATAATAAAAATAAAAAACACAATTTTTCATAATTCA